CTTGTCAACCTTGGCTTAGAGTCCATCCTGCTTGGATCTTGTGGCGCCAAGGTTAAGATTAAGATCATGAAGTGTAGATATGTGAACCAGATTTTGTCCATGATCTTCTTAAACCTTTTTTCCATCTAGACCCGCTTCTCCTCGGCATTAGTAGCCTCTTCAGTTTTGGAGCTCAAGGCTGCCTCCAAATTATTTACTTGCTCAATGGAGGCAGACTCGCGCTTGGCAGCAGCAAGAGCAACATCTTGAAGCTCAACCCACCTAGCCTTAGCATTTTGGAGTTGTACATGCAATTAAGTGTCCTCTTGGCTATGGGCCATCATTTCTTGCTCACTCTGTTGCAACCGGGACTCAAGCTCGCTCACTTCAGCAGCCTTTGCCCCTAGCACCGGGAGGCGCGCAACAAGTTGATTCCTTTCGGCCAACAGTTAATCCCTCTCGGATATAAGTCCCTATTTATCAAGTATAAATCTCTGAAAGCCCTTGGATGTAAGGAAGTTGGCCTACAAAATGTATATCAAAGTCATAAAACCCATTATAACACATAAACAAAGAACAAGCCGCAAAAGAACAAGTACGATATCGCTGCCGCATTATACATGGCATTGTTCAAAATGCACTCCCCCGAAAGGTAGTGTATATTCTTCTTATCTTTCTCTGAAGGCAGCGAATTTAGGTAGTTGGCAAGCTCCACCGGCCTAGACAACAGATGGCACCCCTTTGAAACCGAGAGGGTGACACTCCTCGTTTCTCAGGGAACTAGAGAAGAGGGTGAGTAATTGTGCCCTAAATTCCCGTGATCAAGGGACTGGGGAGGAGAAGCACCCTCTTCTCGGGCATCTATGGCCGTCGAAGAAGATACAACAGATACTGGTGGCGTAGGAGCAGCTAGCGTAGAGGGGCGTGAAGTTATTGGTGTTGTAGGTTGAGAAGAAGCTGCAAAAGAAGCAGTGCTGATTATTGGTTGCTCATTAACCAAAGGCGGAAGAGGCCTGGGTCCCGAACTCCTTGGACCAGGAACAATAATGGGGACAGGACATCGGGAGTTGGCATTTTCTACTAGATCCAACTCGCCCCACAGTGCTTGGGCCTCTTCATCGGCCAGTTCTAAAAGCTCTCCCGGTTGAGCATTCGTTTGAGCCGATGAAGATCATTATCTCCATTGAAGAGAAGACTCTCCTTCACTAGCTTCCCCATCATCTTCAATGACCATTGCGGCCACGACCGGCTCAGGTGTGGCCTTCTTTACTTTCTTATTTTTATCCCTAGCCGAGGAAGAGCACCGCCATTTTTGGTCGCTTGTTCTCTGGCTGGGGACTTCGAGAAGAAGTTCCCCCACCGGAAGCAGCCCTGAGGGCACCGCTCCGAGTGAGAGCATCTTGCAGCAATTTCGCAACCTCTGAAGGATCGGCCAAAACCTCGACTTCGGGGTAGGTAATAGAGCCATTTGGGAGTCCTGAATCAAACAAAAAGGTATGGTTAGCAAGTTTACTTATGTACATACAGAGGCGGAAAGTAGAAGTAATTAGTTTACCGTGGTTCTTGGCCTTCCATACATATATAGGGGTCATCTCCTTCCACCGACGGTTTTCTAGCGTTGTAATATCCAGAATCTTCTTAACCTATTGATCCAAGCCTTCAACCCTTGGAGGTGTCCACTGAATAACTGAAATAACAAAGACAAAAGGTCAACAATAACGAGAAGCAGCCTTTTACGAAGGAAAGAGATTAAGAAATTATAAACTTACGTGAACGACTCTATGATTCAAGAAAGGATAGAGTTGTGGGTGGAATGATATCCTTAGTAGCAATGACGACAAACTGCTTCATCCACCTACGATCAATGTCATCATCCACGTTGGTGAGAAGGGCGTGGTGGGCATGCTTATTGAAATTTATTACTCTTCCACGGAAGATTTTGTGGGAGTATAAGTTCATCATATGTGCCAGTGTTAGGTTTTTTCCAATCTTCGTGCACAACCGGCGCATATAAGCAACCGTTCGCCACATAGAGGGCCTACTTGTGCCAAGCAGATCTGGTACCGGTGGCATAACTCCAAGATCATGGGGTCAAGTCCCCCGCTAAAAAAAATGGGCCCAAAGTGAAGGGGTACGATAGACATACGTAAAACCTTTCTTGGTGAAGGTAACCCGCTCCACTAGGTCAGGAGCGATGATGTTAAGGTCTGGGCAGTTACAATCCTCCTTGACAGTTGGAATACTGGAAGGGCGGATAGAAGAGGGATACCTACTAACAGCCCAAGTTCGAGGATTTGCAGAAGGAAACTTCTCTTGGAAGTCATTAATAGTGCTAAAGTGTTTGAGATGATGGTGCTTACCGTAGGAGGATCAGTATCGACATCAACCTCCTTATCTTTACTTCTCTCCGGGACTCTACCGAAGAGAATACCTGAGTTCTTTGAAGACTCAGTAAAAGAAGCCATAATGATAAGAAGATAATGGAGTTCTTGAAGAGAATCGGAAAGAGATGAAAGCAAAGAAAAGGTTAAATGCAAAGAAGGTAGGAACTTATGAAAACTTTGGAAGTGTAAGAGGTAAGATGATGAGTATAAGTATAGATATATACGGCAAAAATCGTGGTCATGATTACCTTGAGAACCAGTGAAAATATTGTTGAATTGTGGGGCAACATGTGTTCGGGGTATTAAATGCGAGGAGACGTGCGTCCTATCAAGCATTAGAAGACTGTTCAGAAGGTTTCAGAAAGATTTCCCGCCAAGAAAGGAATCTTCACCAACTTCCCCAATAACACAAAGATATGTCACCGGGAAGTAGGGGGACTATTTGTATAGGGTAAAATTAGTTTATATCAAATGATCGAATGATAGGGCGACACGGAGAACCAGAGACAGGCGGAAGCCAAATCGAGTAAGAGCCAAGACCAGGAACAACAGATGCAGTTGCCACCGGATAAACCCCGAGGGAAGCATAATCAACTTGAGTAGGTCGAATGTTTGTCACTAGATGACATTTAATGAATAATATTTTCTAGTATTAAATAAGCAGTCGTTGTAGAGAATTTTGGCATTCATAGCCTGCCATTACATATTCATCAATGGCCCCCTTTATTGTCATTTAAGAGGGGCTTGATCCTAGGATCTTGTTTCCTAGGTATAGCTATAAATGGTAGCTTCAATAACCATTGTAGGGAAACGAAATTTTTAGTAAAACTTATGCTACATTCTATTCTCAAGCTAAATAATATATACAACTTTACTTGTTCTTGCATATTGTTCTTATTTCTGTCCTCGGAAGTATCGCTCCTGGAGCCAGGCTTGCCATTTCCTTTGATTTTAACGCTAAGTTTTATTTTTAATCTACTTTATTTATCATTTTGGATCAAATTAGTTCGTTTGTCTATAAGCCACGTAACAAATTCAACCGTACAGTTTAGGGGTAAACAATATAGGTTTGAAATATATATAATTATCATATGCAACTTCCTTACATTATGCTCTACCGAAAAGTGATAAAGTCAAGCATCTGAAAACAACGCTTAATACTTTACGACTTGGGCAATGGGAATAGCGTAGTTGAATTATTCAGTAAGTGTGGAATTATGTAACAAAACATTACTAGATATACTGACCTACATGTCTATTCAATAGGGATTTCTTTTGTTAATAATTTGAAATAGGCCGGATATGCAATTAGCTTTCACCTTTATGGACCAAGAACAAGGGTCGGTTGGGCTTTCCAATGCTCATTATTCAAGATTCCTTTTATCTAGTGTTGGAATAGTTTTCCCTAATATATGACTTTAGTTAAAAAAGAACGCACAGAATAAAGACATAAACATGAAAATAACACCTTACGTTCTAATTTTAAAGCAAGCGCAAAGAGTCTGTTGCTATATAGTCATTTTTAGGTGATCGAAAAATAAACATAGCAAGAAGATTTATAAGTGTGATTTGAGTAATTTCTTTAGGCCCATGAGAGTTGTAACATGTGGTTTCACAAAGACAAAATGTGCAAGGCCAAAGGTACCAAAGGTGCTTATGAGTCAAATGCTCATTGCTTCTCATATTCTCATTTATTTTGTGTTGAACTAATGCGGGTACAGAATTTGGGTATATGTAACACTGGAAAAGTGAAACAAAGGAACTCTCTAGACTTTCCTCTTGCTTATACAACTACAAGCTTCTAATTAGTTGTTTGACTGATTGGTAGCATTAACAAGGCTCATCTTCTCCTAATAAGCTACTATATATAACAATGTAAGAATAGCAACAGAAATTATATCAAAATCATGTAATTGTTGTTAATTGTTTCATATAAAATGGGAAATCCTGTGAAATTAAGCCATGCAGATGAGAATCGAACCTAATTTCTTAGGGAAGAAGGAAGAAGAGAAATGCAGATGAGAATAGAACCTAATTTCTTAGGGAAGAAGGAAGAAGAGAAAGGGAAATTCTGTTATTCATCTTCTAAGAAATGAGCTGATGCTCAGCTATATACAAGTGTTTAGTGTCTCACTTCTCACACGTGCACCTCACGTGTTCCTAACTGATTTGTAACTAATTTTCTAACAGCTCACTAATTGTACTTAATAACTAATTGCTCTTAATAGCTTCACTCCAGCTGCTATGTTGCTTCTTCCATTACTCCCCTCAAGCTGGAGGGTGAAAGATATCGAGCACTCCTAGCTTGGACAAAAGGAGATGATGCTGGCTGACTCCCAAACCTTTAGTTAGGAGATTTGCAATCTGAGATTATGTAGCAACATACTTGGTTTCAATAAGCCCTTCTTTCACCTTTTCTTGGATAAAATGACAATCAATGTCTATATGCTTGGTGCGCTCATGAAATATGGGATTTGCTGCAATTTGGATAGCTGCTTTGCTATCACAATGAAGTTCGATTGGTCTAGAGATAAGTACACCTAAGTCTTGTAGTAATCCAACTAACCACACAATTTTTGCCACACTAGCTGCCATGCTGCGATATTCCGCTTCTGCTGAGCTTCGACTGACTGTGTGTTATTTCTTTGGCTTCCATGAGATCAGAGAATCACCTAGCTTAATGACATATCCTGTGACTGAGCGCCTAGTGTTAGGACAAGCAGCCCAATCAGAGTCGCAATATGTTGTTAATTGAGTGACTGAGGTCTGGCTTAGACAAACCCCTAAACCAGGACTACCCTTGATATATCTCACCACTATCAATGCTCCTTCCCTGTGTGACCTTTTTGGCTGCTGCATGAATTGACTGAGTACCTGAACTGTGAAGCAAATGTCTGGGCGTGTGATGGTAAGATAGATCAGCTTCCCAATTAATTTTTGATAACTGCATATGTCTTCAAGTAAAGGATCATCAGTGTCACCAGTCAATTTGTCAAATTCAACAGTGGTTAGTCTGGTATTGGCTTCAAGTGGTGTTGTGACTGGCTTTGCACCACTGAGTCCAACATCAGAAATTTATTCTAAGGCATATTTCCTCTGATTGAGAAGTATCCCTTGCTTTGATCTCAATACTTCAATCCCCAAAAAATATTTGAGTTCTCCAAGAGCTTTGACCTTGAAATTGTTGTGTAAGGTCTGTGTAGCTTCTTCAATGAGGTCCTTATCACTCCCAGTAATAAGCAGATCATCAACATAGATTAAAATAATCACAATACACCCTTTTCTTTGTTTAGTGAACAGAGAATGATCATGAGGACTCTGCCAGTATCCTACTTGTAACAGAACAATAGTTAGCTTGATATTCCATTGCCTCGACGCTTGTTTGAATCCATACAAAGATTTCAAGAGTTTGCATACCCTATACTCCCTATGTCTATAAAAACCTTGAGGTAAGTCCATATAGACTTCTTCATATAAATCTCCTTGAAGAAAATCATTGTTGACATCCATTTGGTATAAAAACTAGTTCTTTGAAGCTGCCGCACTGATGACTGTTTTAATTGTGACCATTTTTGTGACTGGAGAGAAGGTGTCATGATAGTATAGTCCTTCCCTTTGTGTGTACCCTTTTGCCACCAAGCGAGCTTTGTACTTGTCTATCTCCACATTGGCCTTGTACTTAATTTTATATGCCTACTTTGAGCCTATTGCCCTCTTGCTAGCAGGTAGTGGAACTAACTCCCAGGTTTTGTTCCCTTCTAATGCATCAATCTCCTGCTGCATTGCTTGAATCTAATTGTGATCTTTAAAAGCCTCCTTGAATGATCTAGGTTCGGTTGGCACAAAGAAAGAACCCAAGTAGGCTTAGTAGGTGGGAGTGAGATGAGTGTAGGTCACATATTGGGATATAGGATAGGAGCAATGTGCCTTTGGCTTGACAGTAGTGATGTAGTCACTAAGCCAAATTAGAGGCCTGATTGTTCTGCTTGGTCTCCTTTGTGTGTGTGCTTGAACAGAATCATGTTGCTCATGGTGTTTATATGCTTTTGTTGTCAACTCAACTGGATGTGTCTCAGCTTGGTCAAATACTGCAGTTGTAGGGGCTTCATGTGTCTGTGGTTGATCCACTACATCTTCTATGTCAGGTGCTGCATCAGAGAGATTAGGTGAATCAATGGTTGAACTTTCCACTCGTGGCATTTCTTCTCCTGGTTCAGGTATTAGTTCTGCACTTGTAGGATGTTGAGCATGAGAATCTCCTGCATGTGTCTGGCTTATACCTGTATTTATTGTCTCTTTAAACAGAAAAATGTCACATAGTTCCTCTTGAGTTTCAAATTTAAAAGAAAATATTGATTCCTTGAACTGAACATCCATGCTAACAAAAAATTGATGATCTTCAAAATCATACAAATTGTAACCTTTCTGTGTTTCTCAATATCCCACAAATACAGTCTTCCTAGCTCTCGATGTGAATTTGTCACCTCTAGGCAATCTGCTCGCATAGCAAAGACATCCAAACACTTTTAGATGAGATAGTTGAGGTAGCTTACCATGCAGCAACTCAAATGGTGTTTTCCCTTGCAGCACTGTTGATGGAAATCTGTTGATCAAGTACACAACAGTTCTAACACAATCTTCCCAAAATTTTATAGGCATTGAGCTTTGAAAGATTAATGCTCGTGCCACTTCTAGTATCTGTCTATGCTTTCTCTCCACAACTCCATTTTACTGTAGAGTATATGGACAAATGCTTTGATGAATCACACCATAGGAGGCTAGGAGTTTATTACATTTTGTGTTAAAAAACTCACTACCATTGTCAGATCTAAGAATTTTGATATTCTTATCAAACTGATTCTTTATTAGAGCAAAGAAGTTCTTCAGTACTACAAATACTTCACATTTAGATTGAATTAGATATATCCAAGTACACATACTGTAATCATCCACTATGGTAACAAAGTAGTGCATTTTATCATACGTAGGTTTTCTGTATGGACTCCATACATCTAGGTGCATCAACTGAAAAAGACTACTTGATCTACTGTTGCTAGTAGGAAACTTTATTCTGCTCTGTTTTGCCAAGGGACAAATTTCACAACATTCTAATAGTTCAACATCTACTTTATTCTTGACATCTGCAATGTGTTGCATTTCTCCAATAGAAGGACGCCCTAGTCTCCAATGCCATAGCTTTTCACCATTGTCCTCCTTATGAACTGTTGCTCCTACTGCGGGTTTTATTGCTTCTTGTAGTATATATAATCCTTCCTTTTCCTTATCAATCCCCATAACCTTCCCATTGAAGAGTCCCTGGAACACACAAAAATCAGGGAAAAACAAAACCACACAAGAAAGTTGTTTGGTTATCTTGGACACTGAAAGAAGATTAAACTTGAAATATGGGACATGCAGAACATTCTCAAGCTTATAGCTTCCTAAAATCAATGCATCTCTTATACTTATGATCTCTGCTCTATCACCAGTAAGTACTTGAACTCTACTGGTGTTTTGATCTCTCAATGTTCTAAAAGTAGTCAGTAACTCCTTATATGGTGTGATATGATATGATGCCCCTATATCTATTATCCATTCACAAGCAAAATTATTGGATAATAGTGAGGTCATACCTGCCATGTTACCTGTTATGTTATCTGCACTGTCACTTGATGTTGGCTTATTCATCATATTTAGAATCTGCTTGTATTGTTGTTCAGTGAAGAAATGACCTTGTCCCTCTGATGAATTCACATTTTCTCCTGCTACTGTAGAATTAGCAAAAGGTCTGAATCCACTAAATTGTGTGCTCTTCTTCTTGCTCTTAAAATCCTATGGGTAGCCAACAATTTTATAACAATTTTCCTTCAAGTGTCCTTTGTATCCACAATGCTCACAAATTACACCAGGCTTCTTAGGCTTAAAACCTTTGTGTGTTCTTTCTACTAACATTGTTAGTGGATCCTTGTTCATTTCTACCACACCTAGGGATCTTTAGCTTTCCTCCTGAGATACTGTTGCATAAGCTTCATTTACTGACACTATAGGTCTCCTTGCTAGCATATTACTTCTTAGATTACTGTAGGACTCATTAAGTCCCATAAGGAACTGCAGAAACCTCTGTGATCTTAAATACAAAACATAATGTAAAGACTCCTCACAATCACAAGAAGGCAGGGGAGCTAAAACATCTAATTCATCCCAAAAATCCTTCATCTTAGAGTAATATGAAGTGACAGAATCAGTACCTTCTCTTAAAGTAGCAATTTCAGTCCACAAATGAAATATCCTAGTCAAATTTAATCTATCAAAACGCTCCTCAAACTCACTCCATACCTTCTTAGCATTAGTCATATATACGATACTGGCTATCAATTCAGTCGCGACTGTGCTTCCTATCCATGACAGAACAATAGCGTTACACTTGTCCCACTGTTATGCTAATTCTCCTCTATACATGCTTTTGACACAAGTTCCATCCACAAAACCTAATTTGCCTTTGCCTCGAAGAGCCAATTTTATTGCTCTACTCCACAACGCGTAATTATCTGGCCATGTGAGTTTGAGCGGAATTAGGACTAGTCCAGGCGCATCTCCAGCTTGAAGATACAACAGATGATTGTGGTCAAGTGAAGTAACCTCATTTCCTGCTATTTTTACAGAAATTTGAGCTTCATGTTCTTCTGCGACTCACAAAATTACACAGATATGTGCTTCGTGTCCCTCTGCGAATCTCGAAATTACGAGCATGAATCGTCGTCAAGCAACCCGCTCTGATACCATGTGAAATTAAGCCATGCAGATGAGAATCGAACCTAATTTCTTAGGGAAGAAGGAAGAAGAGAAAGGGAAATTCTGTTATTCATCTTCTAAGAAATGAGCCGATGCTCAGCTATATACAAGTGTTTAGTGTCTCACTTCTCACACGTGCACCTCACGTGTTCCTAACTGATTTGTAACTAATTTTTTAACAGCTCACTAATTGTGCTTAACAGCTAATTGCTCTTAATAGCTTCACTCCAACTACTCTGTTGCTTCTTCCATTAAATCCACAAACAACGCACCTCTTTCTTCTTTTTTCACTTCTATTCTTGATCTTAGTTGCATTATCACGTCAAGTTTCTTCTTTTCTTAGTGATTCAAAAATACCAGACAGACAAAATGAGTTTTTTCAAGATGAAATAGTTTTTAGACTTTTCCAGGATTGGAAAAAGAAGCATGGAAAACTTTATAAGCATGAAAAAGAAGAAGAGAAGAGGTTGCAGATTTTTATAAGTAATGTGAAGTATATAATGCAGAAGAATTCAAAGAGAAAATCAGATTCAGACCATTTGGTTGGGTTGACCAACTTTGCTGATATGAGTAATGAGAAGTTCAGGGAAGTTCATAGTTCTAAGATTAAGATACCCTTTTAACAAGGAAAAGACCATTTAGATGAGAAATGTGGAGAGAAAACCTTCAATGACTTCTTGCCATGCTCCTCCTGCTTTGGATTGGAGGAAACATGGGATTGTCACTCATGTTAAAAATCAAGGAAATTGTGGTAAGCTTTCTTTTCTTTTTCCATTTTTATTCAATTGTTACAAGCCTACACGGTATTTCATCCCTGATTAAAAGAAAATCAACACTCACTATTATTATTATTATTATTATTGTATTTGTAATTATTGTTGTCGTTATTGTTATTATTAAAGTTCCCTTGAGCTCATTTGGATTTTTCATACATAATTTCATTTAGTTATGATAGCCTATGTGGTTCCCGTTTAAGAAATTAAAGAAAGAATAAAATCAAATGGGAGTAGTTAAATCTGCAACTTTTGCAATCAGTACGGGGACTTTCTTGGTCTAGTAAGTCTCAAATAACATGCTGATATCACCAAAACTTGAGTCACTGAACTTCACCCACTGTAACAATAAAGTCACATTTTGTAAAATGTATCTGATATCTGCATAACATTGTCAGGGTCTTGTTGGGCATTTTCGGCATGTGGATCAATGGAGGGAATAAATGCAATAGTCACTGGTGAACTTGTTAACCTTTCTGAACAACAACTTGTCAGTTGTGATTCATCCAATTCTGGTTGTGATGGTGGACTTATGGACTCTGCTTTTGATTGAGTGATCAACAATGATGGCATTGATTCAGCTTCTGATTATCCTATACTGCCTCTCAAGGCACCTACAATATCACCAAGGCATACAATGTTTCTATTTCCTCTTAATCTGAATCCATTTCTTACACAAACAATATATTTTAGTTATAATAAAGAAAGTCCTTAACATTTTTCTTTAACAAGAGAAGACTAACAATTGATGGATACCAAGATGTTGCACAAGAGGAAAGTGTGTTGTTGCTCAACAACCTGTTTGTTGGGGGTTTTAAGCTTATTTTAGCTTAAAACATGGTAAATCAGAAATGGAGGGAAAAATAAAAATTTAATTTTTCTTCCCTGACAAAGGGACATTGTCCCATATTGGAGGAGGAAAAGACTTTTGATGGGTATATATATAATTGCTTTTCTTCTAGCTCTTAAAGAGTTAATAAGAAGGCAAGTCTCGCGCTGTCGTCGTCGCTCGGCTTTGGATTCGGATTTGGTCAATTGATTGATTAATTTTTTGGACCAAATTTATTCATTAATATTAAATATTAATGTAATATTATTTAATTCAAATTATCCATTTTTGTAATAGAAAATTAATTTTCCTCCACGTTTTAAATTCCCGTTTTATTTTGTGTAAATAGCCATTTATGTTATGGCCGTTTTACGTAAAAAGTCATGACAGGCCTTCTGAAGAGTTGTATCTCTTCCTTTAAACCCAACCTGTTGGCTATAAATAGAAGACCATTCCCTCAGATTTTTCTTACGAAATTTCTGAATTCTCCTCTTCCTTTCTGCATTGTTTTAATTACAACAAAGCAATAGTAAGTGTGATTTGCTGCCGCCATTTGTGTACGTTGAAACACTGGGGTTTGAAGTACCGCTACACCAGTGTGTAATCTGTTCTATCCCGAGAGAAAATAATCCACAACCTCAGGTACTAGGAGGGGATTAAGTTCCTTAAGGAAACACTGTGAATTCAGTGGGCTCAGATTAATTTCTATTTCTTCTACATTTCTGTTTATACGTTCTGTTCTTCTCCAGAATTATTTTACAAATACAGAATATTAACAAGCTTAAGGAACTTATCTATTTTCTGTATTTGTGTTATACTCACTATTCTGGAGACTAAAATCTTCGTGGTTTTCTACTCCCGTTTTGGAGATTAAAGCCTTAGTGGTTTTCTACTCCATTTGTTTACTTTAACGTATATTCTGTTTTGGTTTACTATCTGTTATTCGGAGATTAAAATTCTAGGAATTTTCTACTCCGTTGGAGATTAAAATCTACGTGATTTTCTACATCAGTTTTATTCGGTTTGAAGATATAAAAACTTCGCCGTTTATTAAACATTTATTTGTGTCATTCCTTTACATAATATTAACACTGTTAGTGTTGGCATAGATGGATCTAGCTTGGATTTTCAACTATATAAAGGGTAAACTCTTATCTATTTATCTTTGTTAGTACTGTCCTTTTCCCTTTCAGAAATCATGACATGGATGTTGTAATGCCAGGGAATTTATGATGGAGATTGTTCTAGTAATCCTGATGACATAGACCATGCAGTAGTAATAGTAGGATATGGTTCTGAAGGAGATGATGATTATTGGATTATCAAGAACTCATGGGGTACATCTTGGGGAATGGAGGGGTATGCCTATATAAGAAGGAACACTTATTTGCCATATGGAGTTTGTGCCATTAACTCAATGGCTTCTTATCCAACAAAAGAATCGTCTTCTTCGCCATCTCCTTATCCGACTACAGCCCTTCCACCATCTTCGCCATTTCCAAGTGAATGTGGAGACTACTATTACTGTCCAGCAGGTCAAATATGTTGCTGTGAATTGGAGTTTTTTGGGTTCTGCTTCATTCAGAGATGCTGTCCTTCCGAAAGTGGTGTTTGCGATGATAAATCAGAATATTGCTGCCCAAGTGACTATCCTATTTGTGATGTTAATCAAGGCCTGTGCCTCAAGGTAAGACTTCTACTGTAGCACTTGAAAATTCCCAAGCTGGCATATGTGATCACTTGGGATGAGAATTAACCAATCCCTACTTGATCATTAATTTACCTGAATAATATTTTCTGAATAATTGAATGACAGCTACTAATTGGTTTCATGTATTGTTCTCCTTTTTGAAGAAGTATGGAGACTATGTTGGAGTTGCAGCAAAGAAGAGAAGAACGGCAATGTACAAATCGTCGTGGAGGAGTAAAGCAATAAGGGAGATGGATCAGCCTCCGCAGTAGAAAAGAAATCAATTTATTGAAATGCTGAAAGAAACATCTACTGTTTATAATTATACCAAAGAAGAGTCGTAGATTGTCAAATGGCTCCTGACGGCCAGGATTTATAGACGCTTTCTTGTTTCTAATTAAAACCACAAGAACAACTCCTTTCATGAATCTAAATGTTGATTTTCTTGAATGGAGAGGACTGAAAAGTGAATCTGTGACACCCTTGTTAATGGCTAGTAATAATCAAAGATCTTATCTTCAAAGTAGAAGTCCTACCCAATTCAAAAATATAATTATGTATATGGATGATATTTGAGTGTCATCTCATCTTTCTTGGTTTGTGAAATATCGAGATATTGCAAGAGCAATTTTTCATTCTAATTCCTCCCGAAGCAATATGCCCCTTCCAAAATTATATCATATAATTTAACGACAGTATTTCACTCTAAAAATTAATCTGTCATTAATTTTCCTATACTAGAATAGGACATTTAGGGTTTTCGGAACATGTTGAGTAATATTTTAAGTGACAAAGTTGTGATTCTCCTCGAGCGTGGCAATATCTAAACTCCCCTAAGCTAGTATCTCAATAGATGAGGTATTATACCCAAACTATTATACATAGATTACCAAAGGAATTTTTGTACATTATTTTTCTTTTGAATTGTATATATTTTTCTACAATCTTTATTAGACAACAAGATCCCGATAAAGACACTAAAAGTGGCCATTGGGATGATAAATGTTATAATAACTTAGTAATTTCTTTCAGCGCACTGCAGGAAACTGATTCCTGTTCCATCGGAGAGTTTGGTCCATTTCTTTTATTCCCTTAGTACCACTAGTACTCCATGGTAGCTTGAATTTGGACATTCTTCTCTTCCTTGCAGCAACTCCAATTTTGTCTCCAATAGTCCTATAAAAGGGTAACAAATGTGAGAATCTTATTAACAACATATCTTATTACATTGGGAGAAAGAGGAAATAGAAGGGGTGTGAAAATCCGACTCACACATATCTTGCGTGTGGAAGACCCCACAAAATATCACTAGACTAAAGTTCATTAAGTATTACGTTTTGAACTCATAGTTTTAGTTGTGTAATGGGTTTAATGGTAAAAATATAAGAATTGAAACCTTTTAAGTTGAAATCCTAGATCTGCCGCTGTCTCTATGCGAAGAAGCTATTGAAGATTAAAAAGAATGGTGGTAACAAGGAGAAACTGAAGATTAAGTCATACCTTGTGGCATGTGCCTTGTAAAACATCACAAAATGGAAAGTCAGTTGGGCAGCACAAATTTGATCCCTCACAGCAAACACCATTTTCAAGAGGACAGCAACCATGAACTAAACACATGCCATAGAAATCTACACCACAGCAGCATGTTTGATGTTCTGGACAGTAATACAAGCCGTCTTCACATTCATTTGATTTTGGAGAAGGCGGTGGAGGAGATGGTTGCGCAGCTGAGATAAAGAAAAGGGCGAAACCAAGAAGAAGTAAAAGGTGGGCCTTTTGTGTATTCCCCATTTTTGAGTACAATTTGTCCTAAAATTTTATCCGTTGATACATACATATAAACGTACTGGATATTTATTTCAACAAGATTGTGATGGACGTTGTTATCGTTACTCCCAAAACATTTCTCGTCCAACCCTTATTTACCAATTATCAACAAGTCGATCGGATATTAGCCAGCCAAAAGTGCTCTATCCGTCTCAAAAAAGGACTGGGGTTTTCTGAGTAGAGCATCTCGTTTCTATGTAAACTAATAATTTAGGTCATTAGTTGGCAACATCCACAAATTTTTAGAAGTCAAATTAATACATTGCAATGCTACTTGTTTATTATCTCTCAGTTTGATGTGACATCCTGATATCATTTTCACACTTTCCAACTGTTATTTTAAGCATACATTTAACAAACTAAAGTACAATTGTTTTTGTGGTTTTTGGTTAAGAAATGTTCCTTTCAACGCATTGCAGCAACATGATTTCTCTTCCATTTCAGAGTTTGGTCCCTCTCCTCTGTTGCTTCAGTGTTAGCTCTCCATGGTAACTTGTGTTTGGCCATTCTTCTCTTCCTTGCTGCCACTCCAATATTGTCGCGGTAATCCTGCAAAAAGGCAAATATAAATCAAACGAATAAGAATATGTTCGACTTTCTTAAGAGTTGTTTAAGTGGTCTTTCCTTCACTTGTATCCCCTGTATTTTTTTGGTAATCAAAATTTTGGTCCTTCTGCTATCACATTGAATATGTACAAACTTCTACATAGCGCTTTACCCCTTCTAATGAACTCAGACTAGCTCAGGTAGTAGGTTTCAGATACCAATATCTAAAGCAAAATAAAAATTACTTAGGCCTTGTACTACAAATAAAATAGTATCTAGTGGATGAGGACAGATCTAATCAATTTGCTCGGTCTTAGCTATGGTACTGTAAGTGCCCCATTAAAAACATTCATTCGCTGTTTTTGCATTGAATTAGAAGGAACTTAAATGATACTGATATGCTTGGAGAGACTGTCAATATAGCAGCATCTTATGGAATTTCATTCTACCTTGTGTAATGACTCAACATTTGGTATGGATTAAAGAGAATCTCAAGAGTGACCTAGCCTATGAATTCTCTGGCATTAAATTCCCTTGGCATCATATATTTCTCTCATTTATGTGGTTCCTTCAGAACTTAGAAACCATTTGAAAACCAAAAGTTGGATTTTTCCCTTAAGAAAGTGCTATAAGAGAGGTCATACCTTGAGGCAGAGGCCTTCATAAACATCACAAATAGGATAGTCAGCTGGGCAACAAAATTCTGATCCATGACAGCAAACACCATTCTCATAAGGACAGCATCCCTGAATGAAGCATATGCCAAAGAAGTACAACTCACAGCAGCATGTTTGATCTTCTGGACAGTAATAAAATTCTCCACATTCACTTGGTTTTGGAGAAGGCGGTGGAGGGGGCGGAGGGGATGGCGGAGGAGGTGGTGGAACGGCTGGAGACGGATAAGGAGATGGCGCTGAAGATGCTTCTTTCGTTGGATATGAAGCCAACGAATTAATGGCACAAACCCCATATGGCAAATAAGTGTTCCTTCTTATATATGCATACCCTTCCATTCCCCACGATGTACCCCATGAATTCTTGATAATCCAATAATCATCATCTCCTTCAGAACCATATCCTACTATTACTACTGCATGGGATAAGTCATCTGGATTGCTAGAGCATTCTCCATCGTAGATTCCCTGCATTGACCCCAGAACAGAATAGAAAGAAAAATCACATCATTTTGGATTACTGAGATGTGTGAAAATGGAGTAATAGAAAATAGTTACCCCTCTATATAGTTGAAAATCAAGGCTGCTTCCGTCGATGCCTACACTAACAGGTTGTTGCCCAACAGCACAAAGAAGGGCATTCTCGTCCTCTGGAACATCTTGGTATCCATCAATTATTACAACCTTATGGTTCACCTGTTGAGGAAAATATTTAAACATTGATCAAGTTTTTCAAGAAGGAAAATATTTGGAAACTGGATAGAAGACTTGATATGAAATTGATCATCACATGCCTTATCGTAATTGCAACGGCCTTGAGAAGCAGTATATGGATAATCAGCTTCTGAATTAATGCCACTATTGTTCATCACCCATTCAAAAGCAGGGTCCATAAGTCCACCATCACAGCCAGTATTGTATGAATTATCACAATTGATAAGTTCTTGTTCAGAAAGGCTAATAAGTTCACCAGTGGCTATTGCATTTATTCCCTCCATTGCTCCGCACGCCGAGAATGCCCAGCATGCTCCTGCAAAAGGTACGCAGAGAATTAAATAGATTACGCTAATGATGTACATAATTGCATATGCCATCTTATTGATCCCTTGTGGCGAAGCCAGGAATACATACGAGGGGATTCAAAAAATTATTAGAATGTCACACCTAGGATTATCTAAAGCAATTTTTGTAACTTCTTTGACACAACACTAGAATATTTCCTCATGTCAAGGGAAGTCAATAGTTTATATATAACAAAAACAAGTCATTTATCCGCTATTTGTGCAATATAATTTTCTGATAAAGGGGATTCAATTGAACCCCCTTGCCAACATCTAGCTGCACCCCCTCTGTTATTGTAGTAATATTGCAAAGAAGGACAATGTCCCATAGAGTTTTGGACCTTTTGGTACTATTGACTTGTGATTTGAGCCAACAAAAACTCCTATGAAGACTGTAGGTTAGACAAATTTGCAGATTTAACTCACTAAGTTCCTTTTGTCTGGATTTCATATTGCCTATTAGCTGCCTAGCAGTAAAACATGTACGTAGTGTAAACCAGCCCATCTTTGGTGTGGTTACCAACAATTTTGTATACCCAATAATATACATGTATAAAATGCAATGGAATATAGCTATATACAGTATCTAGCTATATGCGGCCCTTCCCTGGACTCTGCGTAAATGCGGATGCACGGGGCTGTTCTTTTTACAATATCTAGCTATATATAGATACACATCTGCAGAGCAGTGTAGAAATAGTGGTTTTGTGTCGATTACAGTCATGCTTAAAGCTTAGAGAAGTATTCACTATCTTTGTCTGCCTTTTTGTGTTAAAGAAGCAGAGCGACAATTTTATAGATTCAATAACACATCTTTCAGATATCACCTAGTAATCAATGTTTCTTCTATGAACATCATGAAATCGAAAATGACAGAATGAATGCACCCTCATGGGCTATAAAACAAATTTGTTCAACCTAACTGCCATTGGTTTCTGTCAATAGCCTATTCAAATCCTTCTACTCACTATTTTTCTCTCTAACCAAAAATCTACTAGAAACATGTATCCTTTTTTATTTTTTTCTGTCAGATACTTTTTGCTGTAAATTTCACGACCTCATCTAACCATTAAGCAAAGGGAGTTACGAAAACTACAAAAACACTAAAAAGAGAAATAAGGGGATTTTCTCCAATCTGACTATCCAAACATTTTGCATCACTATAGCCCATAAGTAAGGTTATCACATTGTTGAATCAAAAAATGGCAAGAAAACATAAGTAAGGTTACCACATTGATCTTGATTCTTGACCTCAGTGACAGCCCCATGTTTTCTCCAATCCTTTGATGGAGGAACATCACAAGAAGCTGTTGAAGGCTTTCTCTCCACACTCCTCATTTGAATAGTCTTTCTCTTGTTAAAGGGTATCTTAATGTTTGAAGTATGAACTTGCCTAAATTCCTCATTGCTCATATCAGCAAACTTGGTCAGACCAACAAAATGGTCTGAGTCTGACTTCTTCTTTGAATTCTTTTCCACTATATACTTCACATTCCTTTTAAACTTGTCCAACCTCATTTCTTCCTCTTTCTCATTCTTGTAAACTTTCCCATGCCTCTGTTTCCATTCTTGGAAAAGTTGGAATACTCTTTCTTCTGAAAGAAACTCAGTTGGTCTGTCTAGTATTGGAAAATCAGTAGTAAAAGCAGAAACTTGAGAATATAACGCAGCTAAGATCAAGAAAAGTGGGAGAAGAAGGAAGTGTCGATAGGGAATCTGTATGCTTCCCATTTTTCAGTAACACTAACCAGTTAAAGAATTTGTGATAATATATCCCTACTCTCAATGATTTATAACATTAGAAAAAAATGACCTTTAAGGTTCCCTATAACTTAACTCGGGAAACACATGAAAAACTGCGACTAACTTTTTAACTGTGGTTTAAAATGACGAATGATGGAATTGTTTAAGCAGGATGAGGACTGGTAGAGTGGTAGGTGGGGGTATGTAAAACACATTTTCTGGTAGGTATTATAAATGCATTCTAATTATGTACGGGTGGGAAAACTGACACTTGTTTTTTTAACTCCGTGGGCCAGATCATGCTGGAAATACCGTGGCAAATTAACTATTAGTAAAGAAATATAATTTCTCAAAACAAAGTCTTTTGGTGTATTGGAACAAGTAGTATATGCAACTGTAGATTAAGACAGGAAAATTGACTTTTATATATTATATATACTTACATAAATGTGCACGCATGTTGGTAATGTTATAAGTAGTATTTTTTTTCTTCGAAAATGACTGTAAGACATTTCTCCAGAAAAGTTGTGAGGGTAGTTTTGTATTGTAAACTAAAAATTCTCTTGGACCCATATCTTGAAAGGACAAGTAATCTTTAACCTTAGATAACAGAATGAAAATTAGTTATTAAAATTGAATGTCTGTGCATATTAAAAAATGGGCAAATTTTAATGGCTGAACCATAATTATAATAAACAACAACATAATAGTGGAAGCCATAAGGTTGTGATGCTATATAGATTTGGGATTTAAGTTACATGCATTGGTAGTGTAAATATTTTTTATATTATCACTAAATTTTAATATATAATAGCAAATTATTTATTATTTTCATTAAATTACCAATTATAATTTTTATAATTATCTAATAAATGATATTTTTATAAAGACTTTTTACACTGTTATTACATGAAACTTAAAACTCATAACTCTGCCCCATCCATACCCACACAAGTTAACAAGACCGTAGCATGGTGAATTAGCGACTGTCGGTTTTCCTATTTTCTTCTCTTTTGGGGTGAATGATTACTCACGTCTGAGTCTCCTCATTGATTAACTTTACTTTCCTTTTCTTTTTAGTGGGGGCAGGGAGTTTTTTGATTGACCTTCGACATAGCTAAAGACGTGTTTGCGCATCCCCCACATTCATTCTCCACCACACAACAAAAATGAATATAAATAAATATACATGAACGAAGAAAGTCAGAATCTGACTAACAATACTGATCTGACTACTACTACATAATAATAATAATTAATAATAATAATAATTTTACAAGCTAACATCTTCAGTTTGGTAATTGTCTACACTCTCCCCACACTATGAACTTTTACTATATCTTCAATTCTTTTACGAATTACATAGTGCAAAACAAATGAGATACCATATTTTCTAATATAAGTTCTTCTCGACATAAAATTTGACCAGCTACAAATTGAAAAAAGTTGTACTCCCATAGTTATACACCCTTAGTCAGTTGTCAGTCTACATAAGTAGTATTATAAATCTACAACTTTTTCAAGAATGTACACAGCATAACACTCAAAAGCCATAGTCGTCTAATTACAACATAAGATGAAGAAGAATACTACTTATGTAGTAATTTCTTTACAAGTATTCGGAGCCACTACATAACTCTCTTTCCAGTCCTTTAATCCAAGAAACTCAATTTTTTGCACAAACAAGATTTATTAAGGAATTGTACTTGTGGTTTGAGTATAGCAAGTTTGATTCATCAAAATTCTCGGCGTTAGAACCAGAACCAAATTTATTCTCAAGAAAATGTTGAATGGCATGACAAGAATTGTTTATCTCAGAGTATTGGGGCAACATGATTCCTCTTCCATTTCAGAGTTTGGTCCATATCCTCTGTTTCTTTAGTGCTTGTACTCCATGGTAACTTGTATTTGGCCATTCTTCTTTTCTTTGCTGCCACTCCCAGAGTGTCTTGAACCCTCTGCAATAAGGAAAAGAAATTTTAAATAAAAATAATAAGAAGATATTCAGCAGAACTTATTGATTCTTAACCTTGTGTGTTGATTAAACTCCCAATTTTTGGTACAAGCAAAATCTCATGAGTGACCTACCCTATCAGTTCTCTAGCATTAACTCCCTTGGCATTGTACCTTTCTCTCCAGTAGTTATTGTGCTCCCTCTGGAAACTTAGAGATAGAAAAACCATTGAAAATTTGTCTCCAACTACCTCTCAAAACCTCCATGAAACTTAAAACTTTAATGCATACTGCTTCTAGTGAAGATCTTGGAAGGGTGCCTACTTACAAATCCTGGAAACCTTCATCCTCATGTTGACTGAAACTCATTTCAGATGGAAGGTGTTATCTAGGATACTACATCAGTCGCAATGGAGAAAGGAGGTGGATGAAGGGATTCGCCAAGAAGGTGAATTTGTTGAGAGTCTTGGCGTTGAAGCAAGAACTCCAGATTTCTTAGAATACAAGATCGAAGAAGATGTTGTTAGGTTGCTCATTCTCATTTGCATCCTCTTGATGTATCGAAGAATGAAGGGCTCTCGTTAGAAGACCTTGGTCATGACGTGGTACATACAGTTAGAGAGGGGAATAGCAGATATTATACAGATGATATGTAGGACTAGCATTTCCCGGCATTTAGGCATCTGGCTTTCCAAAGTGGGGAAAAGAAAAAAGGTCCTAAACCCCCTTCCTCCAATACCACATTCCTTCCAAATATTTCCTTACGTTGTAAAATGCCAATATCAGTCTCTTGCAAAGATAGTGCTAAATCAAGTCCCAGATATTGGGTTAAGGATATGCATAGAGTCAATCTATAATTCTTTGTTATATGAGGTGACTAACTTTTACAAAGGTTTGAAAGAGAAATAAAAGAAGAAAGAGGTATAGGCATCAAAAGCCAATAAGACTATTCAAATTTTCTTTCTAATTATTACGACTCCTCTATGAAACAAATTCACTTATTACAGGTTTGGATGTTATTAAGCGTGAGATAAGGAGCAAAAAATAAAATTTAAGCAACCTATTTAATAAAGAAAAGCTACATTTACCCATCAGTTTAAGTACCATAACATAACAAACGTCATACCTTGAGGCAGAGGCCTTCATAAACATCACAAATGGGATATTCAGTTGGGCAGCAGTATTCTGATCCATCACAGCAAACACCATTTTTATGAGGACAGCAAGTTTGAATGAAGCACATGCCAAAAAAGTACAACTCACAGCAGCATGTTTGATCTTCTGGACAATAATACAAGTTTCCACATTCACTTGGTTTTGGAGAAGGTGGTGGAGGGGGTGGAGGGGATGGCGAGGGAGGTGGCGGAACAGCTGGAGACGGATAAGGAGATGGTGCAGAAGCCAGTTCCTTCGTTGGATATGAAGCCAATGAATTAATGGCACAAACCCCATATGGCAAATCAGTGTTCCTTCTTATATATCCATACCCCTCCATTCCCCATGATGTACCCCATGAGTTCTTCATTATCCAATAGTCATCATCTCCTTCAGAACCATATCCTACTATTAGTAGTCCATGGCTTAAGTCATCTGGATTACTAGAGCAACGTCCATCATAGATTCCCTGCATTGATCCCATTATAGAAAAGAAACAAAGTTTGCACATTTTGGGATTCTTGAGAGAAGAAAGGGCAAAGAATTATGTAAAAAAGGTATTAAGAGATAAGGATTACCCCTCTATACAATTGAAAATCAGCACTCGATCCATCAATGCCCGCACTAACAGGCTGTTGAGCAACAGCACAAAGAAGGGCACTTTCCTCCTGTGGAACATCTCGGTATCCATCAATTGTTACAACCTTTTGGTTCACCTGTTGAGGAACAAAGATCAAGATTTTCTTTTAAAAAAGGATATTATTTGAAAAATGGATAGAAGACTTGATATGAAATTGATCATCATATGCCTTGGTGATATTGCATGCGCCTTGAGAGACAGTGTATGGATAATCAGAATCTGAATCAATGCCACTATTATTCATCACCCATTCAAAAGCAGGGTCCATATATCCACCGTAACAGCCCAAATTGGTTGAATTATCACAATTGATAAGTTGTTGGACAGAAAGGCTAATAATTTCACCAGTAACTATTGCATTTATTCCCTCCATGGCTCCACAAGCTGAAAATGCCCAGCAAGCTCCTGCAAATGTTTAGTAGAAATCAAACACATTACTCCACCTCCAACAAATAAGCAACAAGGTAGTAACTAAAACCTCATTCCCAGCCCTTACTATTCAAGGGTTCAGGTCAGCTGACTAGAACAGCATTTAGCTATCGGTAACATGATTACTTTGAAAATGGTAAAAGAACATAAGCAATCTTACCACATAGGTCTTGATTCTTGACCTCAGTGACAGCCCCATGTTTCCTCCAATCCCTTGAAGGAGGAGCATCACAATAAACTGGAGTTGGTTTTTTTTCCACATTCTTCATCTGAATAGTCTTTCTCTTGTCAAATGGTATCTTTATCTTTGAAGTATGAACTTGCCTGAACTCTTCATTACTCATATCAGCAAAGTTGGTCAAACCAACCAAATGGTCTGAATCTGACTTCCTCTTTGAGTTCTTTTCCACTATATACTTCACATTCCTTCTAAACTTTTCCAACCTCATTTCTTCCTCTTTCTCATTCTTGTAAACTTTCCCCTGCTTCTGTTTCCATTCTTGGAAAAGTTGGAAAATTCTTTCTTCTGGAAGTAACTCATTTGGTCTGTCTAATATTGGAAAATCAGTAGAAACACAATAAACTTGAGATGATAAAGCAGCTATGATCAGGAAAAGAAAAAGGAGAAGATAGGTTCCTTGTGTATTTCCCATTTTTCAGTAACATCAACCACTAAATGATTTTTGAGGCATTTATATGTCTATTCTTATATAGTTTTGGAAAAGGTGACTTTTAAAGCTCATAATCAGTCAACACATGATACACATAACAACTGTGAAGCAGTTGAATCTTGTTCAGAATGATAAATTAATAGATTTTTTTAAGCAAGAAGATCTCGAGTAGGTGGGGATATTTTAAAAGCATTTCTGGTTATTATATTTCCATGAATTGGGCTACTCAGAGTTAATATATTTCCATGAATTGGCTGGCAATTCATTTTCTCCAACTTGCGAGGACCCATACTTACGAGTAACTCTATTTAATAAATATTGACCAAAAACCTAAAATGAATAATAAGTAAAAGGTTATAACATATTTTATTACAATGATTTTACATTGTCACTGTATATAACTTAAATCTATGGGCTCGAACCAAGGATCAAAATGAGTTGATTAAATTAAGAGATTGTAAAGCATGTGCTTCTGCTGCGAGATAAATCTTGCGCAATAATAAAACAAGTTTAGAGACAACAGCATGGTGAATCTGCGATCTGCCAAAACTTTTTTTTTTTTTTTTAAATTTTTGCTTTAATGATAGAAAGTTCCTTTTAATTTTGAGAAAGAACAAAATATCATCCAACAACAAACCCAAATGGAAATATAATACCTTTTTCTTTGAGTCAATTATTACTCCACACATCTCTGTATCTAGTGACTGTTCTTTGCCATTATAGAGAGGGTCAGGTAACGTGGATCCCAGTTGAGCGAGGAAGACTGTTGACTTTCGAGATACCATAAAAAAATGTGCACTGTATTTCCCACAATTCACTCCTCAACATTTATCAGGGCTTTTATATCTTTAATAAATCATGGAGAAATAACAAAATTGGACCAGAAATTAGAATATTATTCATAAAAAATGTACTCACAAAGATAAAAGAAAATTCAGGTGTCCGTAATCTCCGAGATGATTTCGCCCAACTTCGCTGTCGATTTGAACAACGGCAAGAGCAATGATAACTGAAATATTAATGGAAATAGAGGATATTGTGAGTTAGCAGAGAGTAAAGCTGTTGGTGGCGATGGTAGCAGTGGTACTGCCGTCTGCCGGGATTATCATTTCGCAAATACGAGATACGAAATGCATTGCTGAAATCCATTGTATTTGTAAGTTGTAACTTATAAGGATGTCAATTGACGGTAGCTCCGTCTCTATGCTTTGTTCTCTAATTTTTCCACTAACTTCAAGGACCAAAATCCATATTTGGTTTTTAATTGAATATGATCAGTTTAATAGACGTTCATCAAAGACAATAATTCGAGGAAATTTTCCTGACATTTTTACGCAAATAGCCGGTCAATTTTAATGTTTAATTTTATTAGCCGGTATACATTAATTATATATGATTACACACATATTATATATTAATTAGACGTATATTATATATTTGTGGGCTATTTTTATTTAAGTGATTGGGCGATGGCTATTCGGATTAATTCTTTCCTTCTTATACCTATATGTTTTGCTTTTATAGTATATAAAAATAAAATAAAAAATTAGGTCGGCATTTGAAATAGTGAAGACCGGAAAGGCAAAAAATTTGAGAAAAATTAAAAAACGAAAAGTGGAAATATAAGCTATAGCAGCACACAGTTATCTAAAGAAGGAACACATACTTACGAAATTACCCATAAAGTAAGAAATAATTACCGGATTACCCTACGTTGTACCTCAAAAACTCACTTGTTACATACTAATTGGGAATGGCCCCGAACCTAATAAGTTAACAGTTTATATCATTTTATGAAAGGAGCAGATAACTTCTCATAAAAAGTAAGTTCTGTTATGACCAATTTATGGAGTTAAGATATAAGTTTTAGGTACCCATTGTGATAATTTGTGATTTGAGATAATAGTCCCTTATGGCAACATTGTAAGTCCACCCTGCTAAGCAAGGGGCGAGTTTAAAATATGAACCCCCTCAGTTTTTCTTGAATGCTAAATTATATTGGTAGTTTACAATTAGTTCCTGAGATTCAAATGTTATCTTCCCTGTTAGTATGTCACTTCTGGTCTCACCGGGATGTGAGCCTTGTACATATACCTGTACAGTTCAAATATGTTTTCAAACATCACTGACTATGGCTATAAGTACTACACATACCCTAATTTGACAACTGATTCTTTCTCCAAAAGCTAAGTGTTCCTACTTAACAAAAAAATTAACATGTAATCCCTCCATAAATTTATCTGTCGATCAAAAAAGTTAGTAAACAAGGTTCATTAATATTTGATCTCTCACACGCTGTTCATACGGACATATCTGATTAGAAATTTATAACTCAAACTTGTACGGTTATTACTGACTGCAAATAATAACCATAGAAGTTTAATGTAAGTATATGCAAACCTATCCAACATAATTACAAGAGTTTACATCAAGCGGCAATTGCTCTCGATAAGATTTTCCCTGCAGTTGCAAAGCAGAAGGAACCTTAGGAGAAACAGTTATTTGCTTTAGACCACATTAGCAACAACACGCAAACCATTGTAATATAAATAGCAATGTGATCCTTTTATAATATCCTTATTATAGAGATCTATTCTATAAAAGAAGTGCGGTGCACCTAACAATAAGAAAAGAACCAAAGCAAACAACATAAAAAGTAGACAGGATTATCTTCCGGAGTATGTGCATTGAATAGGTGCCACACCGAAATTCGTTCCAGCTCCTTACAATTACCGATATGGTAGGTGATAACTATTTTAGTGTTCCCGAATCTAGATAATAGAGGATTACCAACTCAAGTTCACAACAAAAAGTATTTAAGAGCACTAACCTCTTCATAGAGTCATAACTAAGTAACGGTCCTTAAAAGCAAATTGTTAAAAAATAGTAGGTTGTCCTTCTGCTTTAGATTGTAAGAACTAAATTAGGCACCAAATATGCCACAGTAAATGAAACATTAACGAATTAAGCAAGAATAAGTAAGCTTTACTTATTACCTGGTTCAACTTACACTATGTGTGAGTCAGGTGTTATAGCTTACATAACCGCCGTGTACCATTTTAACTCGGAGGTTGAGCTTAAGAAAGTAGTGACCTTGTATTATATTCTACTTTTGTTCTCATGGTGATATTTTTCCTAAACAAAGTAAAGAATGGAACACTTCAAAAAGTAGCACATTAGGATATTTTTTCTTGTCATGCAGGATATTTGCTTTGCTTTGTCCAGTCAAAGAAGAAGAGTTACATTAGAGTTACCATCAAAATAACAATGGTACATCTGCCATAACCAGAAGTATCACAATGTCATATGTTTCAGACATGCTTGTGTTAGGTTTTAGTTTTAATGATGAAAAAATAATATAATTGCTTTTGGTGTAGGGACTCAAGCAAATCAACCAAGATCGAAGTGCACAAAGAGAAACAATCAAAGCTGAAGGAAGAAATCAATCAAAAATTGATTGAAATATTCAAAAGGAAAAGAAGCACTGACGATCCGGCGAGATAATCAATCCGAGATTGATTGAAGAGTTAAAAAGGAAAAGAAGCATTGAAGATCCGGCAAGATAATCAATCAGTAGCTATTACTGGAAGGACCCAGAATTAAGGAGAAAATCCGGCGCTATCAAGACTTAAAAATGGAAGCTGTCGAAGTCCACATATCAAGGAAGAGTAACTAGAATTAACCTTATTCTTGGAAAGAATAAATTTCTTTCCAAGGATCAAATCTCTTGGGTTGGGAAATCTCTTCAGTAACGGTCTTCTACAAAGTACTTATACGCAACCCTAAGTCTTAGAGAGATATACTTTGATCAAACCAATTACCCTCTCTTTGTTCTACTTCAAACAAACATTGTAGCTCTACTATATCTGTTGTGTAACAAGTTAGAGAAGAAAGAGAGAAAAATAATGATGAGGCATTGAATCAAGAAAAGACCAATGACATAGAAACTGAGTTGTTGGTGTAAACTACACCATTCACTTTGTACTAAAGAAACTCAAACACTGAAAGAGAACTCCCTTGCAACCCAAGGGGACTGGACTAGGATTCACATTGAATCTGAACCAGTATAAAAACTCATGTGTCTTCAATTCATGCACTTTACTTCTGCACTTCTTATTATCTCGTTATTACATCTAGTCGACTAATTGGAAAACCAGTCAACTTATAATAATTAATTTTAAAATAAACAATTCACCCCACTCTTGTACTTTCAATTGGTATCACAGCAAGACTCACATTTTTTGTTTGCTTAACAGCTTGTGAGAAAAGATCATGGCTAATCAAGTTATTGTCTAAGCACTCTTCCAAGAAGGAACATCGTAAGTAAGGCCACCATATTTCAATGGACAACATTTCTCTCACTGGAAAGTGCGTATGGAAATATACGCAAAGTCTTATGATGTCAAGATCGGGCGAGTTATCAAAAAGGGGAACTATCCTATGTCGGCTGCTGCTCAACCACCTGCTGATCCTGAAGATATAGATGAATATACTAATGAACAAATGGCAGTTGTGCAAGTTAATGTTAAAGCAAGGAATCTGCTCTATAATGCTATAAGTGGTGAGGAATATGAGAAAATCTCCAGTTACGATACAGCCAAAGAGATGTGGGATAAACTTGAAGTTACTTATGAAGGAACCAGTAAAGTAAAAGAAACCCATATCAACATGTTGGTTCATGACTACAAACTCTTCCAGATGAAAGGAGAATCCATTGAAGAGATGTTTGCCAGATTTAGCAAAATTATTACTCCCTCCGTTTCAATTTATGTGAACCTATTTTCTTTTTAGTCCGTGCCAAAAAGAATGACCTTTTTCCTTATTTGGAAAAAGTTTACCTTTATGCAATGATTTATAGCCACACAAAATATATGTGCCTCATTTTACACCACAAGTTCAAAAGTCTTCTCTCTTTTCTTAAACTCCGTGCCCAGTCAAATGAGTTCACATAAATTGAAACGGAGGGAGTAGCAATCTAAAAGTTTTTGGCCAACCATACACAAGTGGTGATCAAGTTAGGAAAATTTTGAGAAGTCTACCCACTACTTGGCAAACAAAAGTGGTTACACTTGAATCACAGGATTTGAACAAATTATCATACGATGAACTTCGAGGAGAACTTATAACCTTCGAGAAAACTCATCTCAAGAAAACAAACCAAGAAGAAAAGAAGAAAATAGTTGCTTTCAAGGCTACAACTGAAAGAGCAGACAATGATATTGATGACGACCCTGAAGCTCTTCAAGAAGAAATTGCCATGGTATCAAGGAACATGGATGGTTTAATGAGGAGATACAGGAATACAAGAAGAGGCAGGATACCACCCAGGCGAACTAGACAATATAACGAACAAGACAAAAATGATGGCAAATGTTACGAGTGTGGAAGATTTGGGCATGTTCAAGCTGAGTGTCCTGATCTTAAAAGAAAGGTTTCCATAGGTTATAACAAGAACAAATCATTTGGAAGCCGGAGTGATGAAGACAGTTCAGAACATGAAGAAATAGCAAATCTATGTTTCATGACAATTCTGGAAAACGACATGAACAAACTCTCAGGGTGCTGGACAGATGAGGACACTTCAGATGACGAATGCAAAGATGACAATGAGAATTGTTTCATGGCGCGAGGTGAAACAAGCGAGGTAAGATCTTATAACTGTGAAAGATGTAATGAATTGCAGGATATTCTTGACCTTACTTTGAAAGAGTCTTAAAAAATGATGAATGAACTAAAGAGACTCAACAAAGAAGTAAAAGACTGAAAATTCAAGCTTGAAATATGCGAAATTGAAAAAGAAGTACTTCCAGATGAGTTTCAGGAATTGCAAATGCAACTCAATGGCATGCGCAAATCCACCAGTCATAGTTCTGTCAAGTCGAACCAGGCGACTTACAAGTCAATTGGAGAAGGACCAGCCAGAACAGAGTCCACTAGTACTAACACAAATGAAAGATCCAAAAATGGATCAGGACTTACGTGTCACTACTGTAACAAAAGTGGACATAAATATTCTTTTTGTCGACTTCGTAAATCAAATGTCTCCGGATGGATTTGGAAACCCAAAAACAATCCTGAGTCCAGTAATACTAACCAACAAGGACCCAAGCAAGCTTGGGTACCTAAAAGGAAGTGATAATTATGTTTTGCAGGAACACCACAGAAGGAGTCGCAAAGGAAAATGGTACTTAGATAGTGCGTGTTCCAGTCACATGACAGGTGACAAAAACCTGTTTAAAGAAGTTACAAAAATAGACGGAGGAAGTGTCAAATTTGGTGATGACTCAAAAGGAAAAATAGTCGGTACCGGAACAGTTCCTTTCAAAAATAACTGTGATATCACTGAGGTTTATCTTGTTGACGGACTTAACTACAATCTTCTGAGTATAAGTTAGCTATGCGACTCGGGGTATGAAGTAAAGTTCAAGAAAACAGGTTGTGCTATTGAAGATGAGACAGATAAAATAATCCTCCCAGGTAAAAGGTATGGAAATGTCTATATTCTTGATGGTTTTGAAAATATAGATGGTCATATTTGTTTAACATCCATATCTGATGATCCATGATTATGGCATAAGAAACTTGGTCATGCAAGCATGAATCTGATAGAGAAACTTTCCAAGCATGATTTAGTTATTAGTTTACCTAAACTCAATTTCTCTAGAAATCATGTATGTGATGCATGTCAGATTGGTAAACAAACTAGAAACTCTCTCAAAAATAAAGATATTGTATCTACTCCAAAGCCCTTGCAATTGCTTCATATGGACTTATTTGGACCCATTAGAACTGCTAGCATAAGAGGAAAACGATATGCCTTTGTTATTGTTGATGATTACTCACGCTTTACTTGGGTGATTTTTCTATCTCACAAAGATGAAGCTTTGAAAAATTTTGAGATCTTCTGTAAAAAGGTCGAAAGAGAAAAGGGGTATCTTATTACAACAATTCAAAGTGATCATGGAGAAGAATTTGAAAGCAGAGCATTTGAAGATTTCTGCAATGATCAAGGATACACCCACAATTTCTCTGCTGCAAGGTCACCCCAACAGAATGGAGTTATTGAGCGAAAAAATAGGACTTTACAAGATATGCCAAGAACTATGATACTAGAATATTTGTTGCCAAATCACTTCTGGGCAGAAGGAGTAAGTACAGCATGTCACATTCTCAATTGATGCCTCATAAGACACATCCCGAAGAAGGGTAGAGGGGTGGGCCCATTATCCACCGAGTTTCGAAGGCTGTGGTTGGTCCAAAAGATCAGCCCCAGACGGATTTCTCGGTCATCAAAAAAAAAAAAAACCCATCTT